GTCCCCCACCCCCCTCCCCCTGCCGCTGCGCCGCTCAGCAAGCTCATGGATGGGGAGTGCAGACCCCAAACAGACACTTGTCACCACTTGCTCCCCCACCGGGGCCCAGCTGAGCGGCGCAGTGCACCACGGAGAGAGGGGAAGGGGGCAGGGCGCTGACATACACAGCCAGGGGGCGTGGCCATGTACATCGGCATTACAGATGCACAGACAATGGGATACTATATATATGATAATCAGGGCTCGGCGATCGCAGGAAAAGCCGCTCACCAGCTCCGCACTGGGCATGCGTTCACTGCTGGCAAACGGGGCACTAGGCTGAAATCTACTCGCCACAGGCTCCTGCCTCACACTCTGTGTTTCCCTCCTTCTCCTCCTGCTGCATCTCTCTCTCGCTGTCCTCCGCCTCCTCTGTTCTCCTCTCTGTCTCGTCCACGTCCTATGTGTCTGCTCCTCTTTCCTTCTTTTGAATCCAGTGCCCTTTCCTGACATCAGAGACACATGCTTGTCCAGGCCCCGCTCGCTGGCTATTCCCTCTGGGTGGCGCCGTTGCCACCCGCCATGGCGCTCGGCTGACTTCTGTGCCACCACATGAGAGCAAGTGGTTCAAGACTAGGCTGAAATCTACTCGCCACAGGCTCCTGCCTCACACTCTGTGTTTCCCTCCTTCTCCTCCTGCTGCATCTCTCTCTCGCTGTCCTCCGCCTCCTCTGTTCTCCTCTCTGTCTCGTCCACGTCCTATGTGTCTGCTCCTCTTTCCTTCTTTTGAATCCAGTGCCCTTTCCTGACATCAGAGACACATGCTTGTCCAGGCCCCGCTCGCTGGCTATTCCCTCTGGGTGGCGCCGTTGCCACCCGCCATGGCGCTCGGCTGACTTCTGTGCCACCACATGAGAGCAAGTGGTTCAAGAGGCCGTTTGGGCCCCGCGCTCCCCATGCAGCACCACTCAGCCAGGCCACTGCGTGGGAGCAAGGGGCGCAAGCGGCCGTTTGGGCCCTGCGCTCCCCATGCAGCACCCCTGAGCGCCACGGCGGGAGTCAACAAAAGTCAGCAAAGCACCATGGTGGGAGGCAGCAGTGCCGCTGAGAGGGAACAGCCAATGTTTCAGCGTTACAGAGTCACAGACATTGGGCTTATATATATATATATATGATTTGTACACTTAATTTGACAGAGTTTATGCACCTTTCTATTTTCCTCAACAGGATTTAACTTCCACTGCTTAAATGATGCCTTTTTATCTCTCGCTGCTTCTTTTACTTGGTTGCTAAGCCATAGTGGCACTGTTTTGGTTCTCTTACTGTGTTTTTTAAATTTGGGGTGTACATTTAAGTTAGGCCTCTATTACGGTGTCTTTGAAAAGATTCCGTACAGTTTGTAAGGATTTTACTTTGGGTATTGTACCTTTTAATGTCTAACTAAATTCCGCATATTTTTGTAGTACCCCTTTCTGAAATAAAATGCCAGTGTTGGGCTGCTGAGGTGTTTTTCCCACCACAGGGATGTTACATTTTATTACATTATGGTCACTATTTCCCAGAGATCCAATTATATTTGCCTTTTGGACCAAATCCTGTGTTTCATTTAGGACTAAATCAAGAATAGCCTCTGCCCTTGTGGCTTCCAGAACCAGCTGCTCCAAGAAGCAGTCATTTAAGGTGTCAAGAAACTTTATCTCTGCATCCTGTCCTGGGGTGATGTGTACCCAGTCAATAGTTGAAATCCCCCACTGTTATTATTTTTTAATCTCCCTTGGCATTTCATAGTCACTATCATGTTCAGGTGGTGGATAATATATCCCTACTGCTATATTCTTTTATTGGAGCATGGAATTACTATCCATAGAGATTCTATGGAACATGTTGGTTTATTTAAGATTTTTAGTTCATTTAATTCTACATTTTCTTTCATGTATAGTGCCACTCCGCCACCAGCACGAACTGTTCTGTCCTTCCGAAATATGACTGTGTCCCATTGATTTTCCTCATTCTACCAAGTGTCCTTGACGCCTATTATATCAATATCCTCCTTAAATATGAGGCACTCTAGTTCACCCATCATATTTTTAGACTTTGTGTATAAGTGTGTTTGTGTATAAACACTGGAAAAATTTGTCACTGTTTAGCTGTTTACCATTTCCTGATATGTTTGAATGGCACTGCTTTTCATTTGACTGTTTCTTACCATATTTTATCATCTTCCGTCCTCTCCTTCTTACTAGAACATAGATAATTCTATTAATAGATTCTCCCTAAGAGATGTCTCTGTTTTATTCACACAAGTAGGCATCGGCTTTTCCTCAAGCCCTTAGCTGTGTCCCTCAGAACAGAAGCATTTGGATTCTGCTGAACTTTTGTATTGGGCTAAAAAAGAACATTCGACAGGGTCCCTAAGTTTGGAGCCAAACTGGTCGAATTTTCCTTTCCAAATTGACTTTCCTTCTGACATTTGCATTGTGTGTGGCAGGGTGTGGTGTCATGCAAGATCACATTTTCAGAGCAGCAAGATGGAAAACCAGTGTTAAAAGGCAACATTTTGCTTGACCCCAAAACTTTTTTGTTTTCTGTCTGAATTTTTTTTCCAAAGAATTTTGAAAGTTTTGTGTTTCATTCCTCACTGGAATGAAAATAAATTTTGAAATCATGAAGTCCTCTATCAAATGGAAGTTTCCTTCTCAACATTGAATTTTGATGCTTACTATTTAGCCACTAGATAATACTGCCCTGGGAAGAGAACCCAGGTGTTTCAATTCCCATTTCCTGCTCTACCTATTAGATCACCCACCCTCTCTCAAACTAGGATGAGACCCAGGCGCCCTGTCTGCTAGGGCCATACAAGACGTACCCCCCACACCCCACTTTCATTTCCTAAATAGAAAAGACTGCAACTTCCCGTATTATTTCCTTTTAATTGCAGAGCTGCTATTTGGGGACACTGATAGGATAATAAACATGTATTGAATGTCCAGAGATCACCCTGGGCAGAAGGAACAGGTCTGTTGGAAGAGGAATAGTGCTGAGCTGAAACATGGTGATAAAGAAGCAACAGAAAAAACAGTGTCACTCAGCAAACTTCCTCGGCTAGATAAGAACAGGATAAAGTGGGTGCAGTTTCCTTGCCTGGCAAGAGAAGACAGCAGCCACAATGAGGGTGCAGTTTATCATCCCCCTTGTAGGTAAGTTTGCAAGGAATTGGATTATTTTCCTTCACTGGGGGCCTGAGAAAAACCCACTTGACGCTTGTGAGGGTGGGGACTGTCTTTTTGTGCTGACCGTTCAGTGGTTCCCACCTATGCCAAGGCAGGTGGGAACCTGCCCAGAGGCTAGCAGCATGGAGGCAGGGAATGGGGGCGTGTTTGTGTCAGTTAGGCATGGAACAGTCGAGCTGTGTGAGAAGTGGCAACAAGAAACAGGAGACTCAGAGGAATGGGTGTCCTGTGTTGGCCCCCTATTGAAACTCAGTGGGGGTTGGGCTGGCTGACCCCAATACCAAAAGGAGAGGGAAGGGTCCATGAGAAATCAGAACCCTGAGACTGACAGTCCCCAGGAGCAATGGGGAGAGGACATGGCTGCTGCTCAGTCTGTTTGGCAGCCTGGGCAGGCTAATGAGGGGGTCAGGACACCAGGGGTCTTGTCCACTGGGTGAGCTGAATTTGTCTGGATCTCACAGAGTAGAGCCAAGCTCAAGAGCAATCAGGGGCCTGAGTAGGGGAGGAGGAGCAGAGCCAGGCCAGCCAGAAAGATCCAGAGAAGCATCCCAGGGAGCAGCTCAGTGTTGGGCAGAGCTGCAGACAGCACCGAGAGCAGATCCCTGCTGGGAACAGAACTGCGGCCACAGAGCCAGAGAGGTCAGAGAAGCAGCCTCGGGGTTGGAGGCAACGCAGCAGAGAGTGGAGCTGGGGGGCTGGAGCAGTGGAGAGCTGTGGGTGGGGAGTAACTGAAGAGTGCAAGGGGGTGCTGGGCAGAGGTCCTACACAGGAAGACTTCTCCAGCCAAGCGGCCCCACAGACCAAATGAGGGGGGCGGATCATAACCTATATTGGGGGCTGCTGCTGTGCAGAAGGGCCCTGCTCTGTACAGCCTGAAGTCACAGCCAGGGCCTGGTCAGCAGGCCTGGGATGTGTGAGGAGCAGCCTGTGAACTGTCCTGACACTCCAGAGGCGCTGGGTGTGACATCCCCTGCCACAGAGCAGGGTGGCCTGTTTTCCTCTCACCTTCCCTGTCTTTATGTTAAAAAATTGCTGGGTGTGTTTGCTGTGAGCTATCAGTGATGAGCAGAGGGCAGGGAAGCATCTAGTGCAGGGAGAGGACCCCAAAATGGGGACACCCAGCCCCTGCCCTAAGTGACCTCAAGGTTGGGGGTTGAGTCCCGCAGGAGTCCTGTGCCCATCCTAGTTGTGGTTGAGGGGCTCTGCCACACAGGGGAATGGAAGAGGAGCCCTCCAGCTCTGGGTAAAGGAAGTGGGAGCGGGGCCTCAGAGCCTTTCTCTAGCCCATGTCACAGGTGGGGTTGTGTAGAAACCAGGGATGTTCCCCTCAGTAGCAGAACCATCCCCTGTGTGCAGGAAGAAAGCCAAAGAGGAGCCTTTAGGAAGGTCACGGGGCTGTCGTGGCTGTTCCCCCAGCAGTGCAAAGAGCTCCAGGGCCGACAGAGCGAGGAGGGGTAGCACTGTATGTGAAAGATAATGTAGAATCAAATGAAATAAAAATATTAAATGAATCAACATGTTCCATAGAATTGCTATGGATAGTAATTCCATGCTCCAATAATAAGAAATTAGCATTAGGGATATATTACCAGCCACCTGACCAGGACAGCGATACTGATATTGAAATGCTGAGGGAGATTAGAGAGGCTCCCAAAATAAAGAAACTCTATAATAATGGGGGATTTTAATTATCCCCATATTGACCGGATACATGTCACCTCAGGAAGAGAAGCAGAGAGAAAATTTCTCAATGGCTTAAATAACTGCTTCTTGGAGCAGCTGGTACAGGAACCCACAAGGGGAGAGGCAACTCTTGATTTAGTCCTGAGTGGAGCGCAGGATCAGGTCCAGGAGATAACTGTTATAGGACTGCTTGGGAATCGTGACCATAATATAATAACATTTAACATTCCTGTGGTGGGAAGAACACCTCAGCAGTCCAGCACTCTGGCATTTAATTTCAAAAAGGGGAATTACACAAAAATGAGGAGGTTAGTTAAACAGAAATTAAAAGGCACAATGACTAGAGCCAAATCCCTGCAAGCTGAATGGAAACTTTTTAAAGACACCATAATAGAGGCCCAACTTAAATGTATACCCCAAATTAAAAAACATAGCAAGAGACCTAAGTCACAGTGGCTTAACCACCATGTAAAAGAAGCAGTGAGGGACAAAAAGGCATCTTTTAAGAAGTGGAAGTCCAATCCTGGTGAGATAAATAGAAAGGAACATAAACACAGTCAAATCAAGTGTAAAAATGTAATAAAAAAAGCCAAAAAAGATTTTGAGGAACAGCTAGCCAAAAACTCAAAAAGAAATAACAAAATGTTTTTAAGTACATTAGAAGCAGGAAGCCTGCTAAAAAACCTGCGGGTCCCCTAGACGATCGAGATATAAAAGGAGCAATCAAGGA